GCCCGCCCGCCCGCGCTGTGGGCGGGGCGGAAGGAGACTACGCAGTATGGAGCCGTGTGCTGCTTGCCTGCATGCCTGGCGCTGTGGGCATCTCATGGCCTCGCAGGTGGTGGTGTTGCCGTGACGCTCGCTCGTCAGCCCTGCGGCCTCTGGCAGTCTTGTCAATGTGTTGTCGCATGGGTAGCAGTTTTGGCTGTGAGATGCTTGAGTTCAGTGTGCCTCACTTCTCTCAACTCTGCAGCTTTGTTTTTTATTTCCTTTAATTATTGGCTGTCATCATGGAAAGCAATGGGCCTAGTCTCCCAAAGAGCTTTCACAGCCCATATGGGGCCACATGAGCCTGTATATATGCTTAATTCTGCACACATAGCATTTAAAGAACCTGTACTGCGCTAGCTCCTTGTAGGGCGGTGGAAGTGACAACTCTTAAGTGATTACCTAATGCAGAGAGGAAGTAAAAACTGCAGCCTGTTGCAGGCATTCATCAACTGCACTTTCAGAGCTTGAAAAACAGAACACCTAGTGGCATTTTTACATTGTAATTGAGATCTAGAAACAAAAGCAGCTGTAGCACTTCTTACTGAGGAGGGCCATAGTTGTGAACGTACCTCCTCCCAGCCTTTCCATGCAGAGAGTCTAGAATGAGAGCTGCAGAGCAGAAAAACAGGCAGTTAACCAGCTCCAAGAAGCTTACTAATTCACACTGCCATTGGTCAGTGGGCAATAAATTCTAAGCTGGAAACTTCACAGAACAGGCAGTCATCATGCAGTCATGTGAAGCCATTAAAGTACATCCTGCTCTGAAGGTGGTTCATTGGGCAGCATTCCAGAAATAACGGAGGTGGATTGAAAATGATGAATTTCTCATATTCTGAGGGAGTGTCAAACAGGATGCGTATCCAGATTCTGGCTTTGCTGACCTTGTCTTTCAATATGTAGTTGAAGAGGCTATTTTTTCTGGTGTTAAGTAACCTCTGGTGAATCACTGAGGGCAGTTCACTGGCATACATGTGATGCCCATGTCCTCAGAAACAGAGGAGTTTACCAGAAGCAGGGATATCTTTTCCTGAACAGGATATTGGTATGGTTGAAAAACGCATAATGACCATGGGGACCAATCCTATCTGTGCGGTCCTAATTTATGAATCTGTACAAAGGATAAGGGTGGTGTTACCACCTTAGCTGTTGCAGCAAGCCTGCTGAATGCCCTTTTTTCACTTGGAAAAATGATGGTTTATAACCAGCCTTGTGTCTAACCTGAGCTTCTGTGAGTCATTTGCTCCTATTA